CACTTATGGAGGCATCCCTATGCCAACTGCACCCATCTCTAAAATCAATTTCTAACATCAATGACTATGAAATTTGCAACTAAAAAAATATACATTTGAACACTTTTTTTTAGGGTGAAATGGATGGTAATTTGTTACAATATATACTATTTTTATAGCTTAGAATCTTAATTTTTTCACAACCATAGTGGTCAAGGCTGAGATGATCAATTTTAAGGTTTTCCAAAGCCAGAATTACAATATTTGATAATTTTGAGGTGATACTTTGCAGATTTTGATAGGCTTGTAGTTTTATGAAACCATTTTCCTATTTAATAACTAAAATATCTTTTCATATCTTATTGTCTGTTTTACCACCATGATTTTTTGAAGGAAACTTGTTTGGTGAGTCGGCCAACTCTCACTATTTTTGTACCATCTCCCTAAAAATATATTTTAGAGATATTTACGTACAGACTGTTGGGTTTATGTGCCCTTTAAAGGCTTTATGAGTGCTTGTCAAATGATATAGTGAAACATAAACTCAGTGAGAGTGTGGTCCCTCGTGGACCATACCATGCAAACGATATTTGCATATACCAGATTGTGCTTGACGATCTAGGCCAGTCGGTTCCCATGTTCTCTAGGCATGAAGAACAAACCGATGAGGGTTCATGAGTTAATCCTAGATGAAGTCGGAGAACAAGCTCGAATGAATAAGCCGAGGGATTGTGTGACCCTTGTGTGTGAATGTGGCCTATAGAGACGGGAGCCAAAATATCATCCATATGCCATCACACGGCATGCATATCGGTAGATCGATTTAAAAAGCCATAAATCCACATTTTAGGGTGATGCATATGCATGTGCGAGAGATCCCCATATGCACCATATAGCTGTGGTTGCATCAGGTCTTGGTGACCTAGATTCGTCTCTAGGGGAGGACCTGTAATCCACATATTGGAATTGCGACCTCTTGGCTCATAGGCTCGACTTTGGTGACCTACTAATGAGCGCCTACTTGGACTATGGGTCATGAGTAATACTGGGTCGGTCTGATAAAGTAAGTGTGGTCCGTAGTCTGCAGTTGAACGTGGAGTGCCCCATGATTGTTGATTCAATTTTTAAACCATATGGATCCATTTTCCATCAAATTAATTTAATTGTATTTGTTTTATAGTAATGATTATTTTAAAATTATTATTTGAATTTTTATGAACCTTTGGATATTTTATTTATAATTTTAAAATTTATAAAATTAAATATATTGATTTTATAATATTTTAATATTAATTAAAAATTATTTTATTAATTTTAAATGCATAAAAAAAATTAATCATGGGAGCCCATTGTACCCATGGGCCCACCATATTTCTAGAACGTGGGGCTCACATGTGCCTCCCCTGGGTAGCACGCTCCACCTCTTACTACTTTCTATTTTTTGGAAACTTTTCTTTTGTAGTCCATACGACTTTATGTTTTGGTCACTTTAAATTGTGACATGTGGTCAAATTATGGATTGAGTATGTATTGACTATATATTGACTTAATATGAAAGTAGATATTGATTTGATATATCTTTGATAGATTTTATAGAAAACATGTGTAGAGATATGCTATTTTATGGAATGCACAATATTTAATTAAAATTAATTTAACTTATTTTTTTAGGAAAATAGTTTAGAAAATGGGGATAATGGTTCATGCACCTTCTATAATGTTGATGGCCCATCTATAGCATTGATGCATTAGATCTCTCACCACACAAGTCACCATTGATCGACGGTTCATGTTCAATCTCACAAGAAGATGCAAGCTAAAGAAAACCCTAAGAAACCCTAATCTTGTTCAAGGCCTATAAAAATGGATTGTCTCTACCAAAAAATCTCTACACCTTATCTCTTGTACTTAATTCCATATTTTTCTCTCATATTCTACTTCGAATTTCTCTCTCCCTTTTAAATTTTTTTTTTCTCTCAGATTGTGAAAGAAGCTAAGGGTTTAGGTTATGGAGTTCTTCTCTCTCCTATCTTTCAACTATGGATTTATGGCTAAGGGTTTTAAAGCTTAGCAAAAAGAGAATCCATCTCTCTCAAACTAGGTTGCTAAGAGAATTCACCTAGGGTTTGAGTTTGTGATCAAATGGGTTCATATTCTATTGGTGTGGCTTGACTGAAACTTACTTTCTCGGTTTGAGATTGAAGCAAGATCGTCGATCCTGCGCCATTGGATGGTGGTGACTCGGTGGCTTGTAATAAGCCCAGTTGAGGTAATATCTGGCGTTCTTCTCTTTTATTTTTTATTCTCAAGCAAAGTGTATAGTTATTTCAATGACATCAAGTTTTAAGATCTTGATTTTATTGCCATGTTGATTTTATTTTGAAGTATATGTTATTGTAATAAGACCACCTATAAGTGAT